TAAAACCACTAAATCACTGGAGAATTTCTCCCGGATAGAGATGTCTCTTTTTGTTCTGTCAGCTCTCTCGTGTATCCATTATTTTATTCACTGCTGCATGGCGTTTATCAGATTGAGACCATATTTGTCCCCCTCTGAGACCTAACCTTGCCTTATGCTTCTGGAGTAATGGACTCTTAAAAATCCAGGAGCACAGAGACAGCCCTTGCGAGGGGAAAACGTTAAAGAGGGGCATGAATATTCCAGGGCAAAGCCATTTTATTAATGTTAATTTAGGGATGCGGAGGCTTCGAGAGAGCCCCCCCCTCCCCACCGGCACGGCTCTCACGTCTCCTCCTCTCTTATATTTATGTATCAAACTTTTACCCCACCCTCCCGCCAAGGCGGCTCAGGGCGGCTTACAAATAATTAATACCATCTTCTGCCATCTTCTTTTCCCCTCCTGACTCGGGGCCAATAACATAGCGGAATCTCTCTCTCTCTCTCCCTCTCCCCACCCCCACCCCTCATTCATTTGTTTTAACTATATGGGTCTTTGACACTCGGGCACTCTAGTCGTGAGCACGTTTACCCCTGAAGGTTTCACCGGCGTTTATTTCCACCTACAGAGGGCAGCTAAATACGCTCCGGGGGCCATCATCCGGGAGGGCTTTAGCCTCCTGTGGACACTTACGTGGAAGTAAGTCCCACTATACCAAATGGGGCTTACTTCCGAGGAGACATGCTTGAGGCTGGGCAGAGCGTCTCGTGGGTATCTGGGGAGCGGGCTTAAATATTGCGCTTAATTCTCCCTTGAAAGCCAAAGGGACTTACAAGAGCTTGACTTGAGCTGATCCGTGAATCCCTCCCCCAAGTGCCAATCCAAAGACTTCAAGAGGCAGTGAAATTACACGGGAAATCTGAACGACATTCCTGGGCACTAGTGCCGGCACCCCTCGACTTGTGGCGCTACCGTCCCGTCCCCCCCTCCCCCGGCGGGGACCCCACGCCTTTGGGACAGGAGCCCTCTCTCGGCTTCCCTGAAAGGAAGGGAGTTCAGCTCCGAGGATGACGTCCTAGCGGAGAACACGCGTCGTGTGAACGGAAGATGGAGGGCGAGAAGGCTTCCGTTGCAGGCGCCGCTGTCTGGTGCAAAGGGCAGCCAGGGGCCTAGAGCCCCTCCAAGTGTCCGGAGTCCGCTGGTGCCTTTCCAGGACGGGTGTCAGGTCGGTTCCCCCAATGACTGCTGCACTAGGGCACCCTCCGCTTTCGAAGCAAAAGCTCGATGGGCATGTATTAACAAAGGAGGTTTAACATCGACCCACAGCCCCTAACGGGGAGGGCAAACGCCGGTCCGAGAGAAGAGGGCGAATCCCCAGCACTCCTCCACGCACCAAAGAGAGCGTCATCCCTTGCTGCGTTTTCCCCACACTCTGCCTTCCCATACCCTCAACCAAGCAACCCACCCCCCACCCCCCGAAACCGCTCTCTCCGGGGCGCCCTCGCACGCCAGATCTGCGCCGCTAGAGCTCTACGAACTATCCGTCAAGACGAACAAAGAGTCGTGTGGCCCCCTGAAGACCAGCAGATCCAGGGTGGCCGCCGGAGCCCACGCCACCAAAGCGGGCACCATCATCGCTCCCGAAAGCGCCCCCAGCTGTCCCTTTGGGCTTTGCTGCAGCGGCTTAGGTTGGCCGGAGCTGTGGGCTGTCCTTCGCAGCCCCCCCCCCTCCCTTCCACACATCTAGGTTTGCTACACAAGAGAGGGATTCTGCCCCCGACGGGGGGTTATGATACAGATGCCGCCCCAGCCCTCGCGTGGCCTCCTTGGAAGAACGTCCAACAGATTCCAGGAGATCCTACTGGGGAAGGGAGACTTCAGTCCTATGCACTGAGTCAAGTCCCTGGCGGAACTCGATAGGCCTGAACCCGTGTCGGATTGTAAAGCACGCCAGATTCAGAACAGGCCAGCCCGAAAGTGAGCGGTCCTTTACTGCTGGGTGGGGCCCTAGCGCCCCAGGGATGCCGCGCTCCTGTGGAGTACAGCCAGGGGAAAGTTGCTCTCCGTCTGGGGGTGCTCCGCTTCCCGCCTGTCACTTATCGGAGAGCCAGTTCCACTTAAGTCCACGAGCTCTTCTCCCGAGCAACTCGATCGGGCAGGGTGCCAGTGTTCCCTCTGAGATGAGTGAGTGTGAGCGAGCTCACAGTTTTTTAGCCTCCGGCTCACACATTTTTTGCCTTGGCTCAGGAAGGATGGGACTCCAGAGCAAACTCATTTATGCAGAAGCCAGATTGCTCGCTCACAACTTCAATGCCAGGAGCTCACCAAGTAGAATTTTTGCTCTCAAGACTCCACAGCTTAGAGGGAACATTGCAGGGCACACACACACACCCAAGAGAATGCGCACGCCTGGCCCTTTCCCCACAGGTCTCCTTCAGGGACCTCAGAACCGCCTCGGCCAAGGGACAGGAGCCCAGCACCCCCGGGAACTTCTCCCGTGCAAGCCTGTTGGACGAGTGGGGGAGCCCAGGCATCCCTCCCGGCCATCAGCGTCGGCCTTGCGCCGGAGAACTTCCCGGCCGGTTGTGCCCATGCTGTTTCGGGGGGGG